AGGGCAGATTAAATAGAGAAAAAAATTGAGATAAAAAAAAAGAAATGCACGCGAACCATACATCGGATTACAGAACAGATGGGGCGACTGATTCCACAAATAGAGGGGCTTGGGAGAGATAGTACGATCCAATTACTTTGATGACCAACTATCGTGGGGTGAAAAGAAAGAGACACACGGTAAAGATCACAGAGTGAACGTTATGTCTAATCTCTAATTATCTCAGCTGTTGTCTAGACGTAATTAGCTTATCTGATTGCCTCCCTTGATTACGTGGTGTAGACCTAAAATCTGAGTGACAGTGGCACGGTGGAGTAGACAAAACCTGAGGTACAGTGGCACGGTGGAGTAGACCTAACCTGAGTGACAGTGGCACGGTGGAGTAGACCTAACCTGAGCTACAGTGGTACGGTAGAGTAGACCTAACCTGAGCTACAGTGGTACGGTAGAGTAGACCTAACCTGAGCTACAGTGGCACGGTGGAGTAGACCTAACCTGAGCTACAGTGGTACGGTAGAGTAGACCTAACCTGAGCTACAGTGGCACGGTGGAGTAGACCTAACCTGAGATACACGGTGGAGTAGACCAAACCTGAGGTACAGTGGCACGGTGGAGTAGACAAAACCTGAGTGACAGTGGCACGGTGGAGTAGACAAAACCTGAGCTACACGGTGGAGTAGACCAAACCTGAGCTACACGGTGGAGTAGACCTAACCTGAGCTACACGGTGGAGTAGACCTAACCTGAGCTACACGGTGGAGTAGACAAAACTGAGCTACACGGTGGAGTAGACCTAACCTGAGCTACACGGTGGAGTAGACCTAACCTGAGCTACACGGTGGAGTAGACAAAACTGAGCTACACGGTGGAGTAGACCTAACCTGAGCTACACGGTGGAGTAGACAAAACTGAGCTACACGGTGGAGTAGACCTAACCTGAGCTACACGGTGGAGTAGACCTAACCTGAGCTACACGGTGGAGTAGACCAAACCTGAGGTACAGTGGCACGGTGGAGTAGACAAAACCTGAGTGACAGTGGCACGGTGGAGTAGACAAAACTGAGCTACACGGTGGAGTAGACCTAACCTGAGCTACACGGTGGAGTAGACCAAACCTGAGCTACACGGTGGAGTAGACCAAACCTGAGTGACAGTGTGAGTGAGTTTGGGTTAATGACGTGACACATCACGGGATATTGTGCTCAACACTGTATTCCCGCTCAGTTGTAAACTATTATAAAAAAACGATAAAATAGTGAATGTCATTTTTTGGAGGTAAATGATAAACTATTATAAAATAATGGTCGAATAATCTTTACGAGAAGTTTGCAACTATTAACACAGAAAAATAATAATATATTTAATGGGTGATCGAACCCCGCGCTAGGACTGGACATATCGATCACCGATGCTTGTTCGATTCCAGTAGGTTCTTATGACAATTATTTTTCTTTGATGACGGCCCGCCGTGTCAACTAGTGGTTGTTGTAATCAACGCCTGTCAGATGTAGAAATCGGTGGCTTAGTTGAACCGGTTGTCTTATGGTTAGGGCGAAAAGTTGTTTTCAAGTTATTTTAAAATTTGCCGAATTTTAGACTATTGAAAAAAAAAATATATTGTGATTTTATGTTGTAGTTTAAATATTACAATTTTAATTCTTTTTCCCCCTTTAAAACAAGATTGCAAAATTATGTTTTTCCGTATAAGTGAGGTGTAAAACGTCGAGATTTACAAAAATCTGGATTTTTTTTGCACGATTACAAGACTTTCTCTATACTTCGTATATACGAGAAAGTAAAAATTTTAAAAATATGATTTTAAGTTCTTTAAAAAGTTGTGTGATTTTAAATTGTTTTTTAAAGTTTAAATCTTACATTTTTAAAATTTAAAAACAAACAAACCGTAAGTTGTTAATTTTTAATGTTTGGGATTTTTTATTTCTTTATTTTCAAGAATTTATATTTTTAAAAGTTTAAATCCTCATGTTTTAATAATCGTAATTAAAAACCCAACCGCTTACATTTCAATTTCTTTTCTTTGCCAGAAATAATAAAAAAAATCAGTGTATTTTTAACGTTAGGTTTGTTAAGGTTAATTAAAGCGTACGACATTTACAACCTTTTTTTTCGTGAAAAAAAACCAACAAACAACAAAAACAACCGATTAGAGATTAAATACGGACAGCGAAAACTTTTGATGATAAACAAGTGCGCAATTTGTATTTTGTCATAAGCCTTCGATGAAAGAAAATTCTGGTAATTCTTAATGTTTATTTTGATTGCTTCCAATACATCAAAACGTATTTCGCTGTCACACACAGAAATTCTTTGATTTCTAGGTCGAAGTTTGAGGGCAATTTATTTAAAATGAAATAAAAACAAACTTCTTTTCCGTCCAATGCTTTACGTTTCAATTAAAAATTTTTTTTTAGCGTATTCGTTACGACATATTAACTACACTAGAAAATTATAAGTAGGCAAGTTAGGTCTACTTTATTAAAAGATGACAGAGATAAACGAAACAAAAGATATTTTATCCTATCTTTATTCCTGCCCATGTTTTTAAACATTCCACAATTTGCGCCTGACATCGCGAAAACTTTTTGTTTTTACCATATCGTGCCAAGGACTCGTAACGACCACGCCACAATATCCATTACACGGAATTTTAAATCAAAATATCTCTTGACCAGGATTTAAAAAAAAATCTTTTATGCTGCTTAACTATTTTAAAACATCACGATCGTTTTGAAAACTTGCTTCTTCTCCATTAAGATAATTAAAAAAATAAGCAATTCACAAATCGAAATAATACTTCTTAAAATGTCTAATGACAGAGTTTTAATACACTTTGCATCGTATCCATTGCACTGTACTGAATGAAGTATGGTTTTAACTTTTTAAGCTTTACAAAACAAATAAACACCCACGGCAAGTAGCTTATATACATGGATGTAAAAATGCAGGATACACACACACACACACACACGCACACACACACACACACACATATATATATATATATATATATATATATATATATATATATATAACAGACGAACGGACGGACGGACGGACGGACAGACAGACAGACCGATGGACAGACAGACAGACAGACAGACAGACAGATGGACAGATGGACGGACAGACAAATAGATAGACAGACAGACGTATAGATATTTGATTCGATAGTACTCTCATTGTATAGAAACGCGTAAGACTTGTGTCTTACTGTCATTGTTTAAAACTAAATACATAGTTTATAAAGAAAGTGTGGTTCTCTAGAGAAAAGTAGATGATTATCCTTTGTCCTGAATATTATATTGTTTACCATAACATCGACATTATTCTTTATCGTTCTAAACTCTACAAGCGTAGTTAGTCTATGGAAAATAAATATATTTCTATGGAGCAATAAAATGAATAAACACGGACACACAGAAACACACAAACGCGCGCACATACACACGCCATGCATATGCATCATCTCTCTCATACAAATACTCTTACAAACACACATACGCTGACCTTCTCTCTTATAGAAATATTCTCTGCTGCACACAAACCCACGTCACCGACGGCTGCAGATTTTAAATTAGCCCGCCTTTCCAATTTTTTACCCCTCCCCGCTCCTATTTTTCTCAAAAACAAGATTTTAATTTGGAACAAAAAAATTCTCTACATATTACACTGATTCCCTCACACAAGGAGAAAAGGAAATATATTAACCGGCTAATTTACGCCTGACTTATGGCCAAGTTCAAAGTAATTTAGCCTTGCTGTTATTTCTCCCCTTCCCGCGTGCAGGTACCCCCGGGGCTTTCATGTGATGACCCACGCGCCACAAACCGGATGTGCCGCCGGCCATTTTAGAAACCCCGCCCCCTGTTTAGACATCGATTCAAGTGTAAAGGGCTGGAGTTAATTGCGGTGTAAAGCGTGGTATTTGTGCGGCGGAGTTTACAGCTTTGTGGGGGGGGGGGGGGGAGGGGGGGGGGGCGGGTAGGAGAGCCGGTTTACAAGGATTAAAGCATGCTGGGGTATTGGATGCTGGGTTATGAGATATGGGTTTCATTGCACTACTGTGATGGTAAGCGGGCAAGTTCGATAATGCTGCAGAAAACTTCTTTAAAAAAAAAAGGGGGGGGGGGTGTCAGGTTACTGGTAGTAGCCTAAATACAAACAAGTTTCCTTTCAAACCCGGTGATCTATGGGGTAAGTTAAGTAGGGTTCACTTGTTTCTGTGACCTCGGCATGTGAAAGGATCAGTGGCGTAGGCAAGGGTAGGGGGGGGGGTTTAGGGGGGGTTATAACCCCTCCCATGGACTCACACCCCTATATATATATATATATATATATATATATATATATATATATATATATATATATATATATATATATATATGATTTTATACATATGGAAAAAATATTTGAACACCTCCATGACCAATTCCTGGCTACGCCACTGGAAAGAATAATGCGGTCAGTACTATGCCCATCCGCCTTTACTTTCCCTATCGTGAGCTACGTACCCATCAGATCTGGGTGGACTTAGAGACTTTCGAGTTAGCAGTCTAGCTCTCTACCGCTAGGCCACTACGTCCCATTTAAAGAAAAGAATTAGTCTTGCTAATATCCTAACCCAAGTCCTACCATACCACTTATCCTAATTTCTGACACTAACTTGACTACCATTCAACTTTCCTCGCCTTAAAGTTAGGGCTTGGGAGGGGGGAGGGGCATGGGTTAGGCTTTGGGTTATGAGTGTGATTAGTGTTCATATTATTAAGTTTTATCTGTCGTAGTTTACAACATTTAACCCAACACACCTGTTTTAAAATAATTAAATTAATTAAAAGATTCTCTTGAAGTGGCATTATTAAACCCTGGTATAAAACATACCCGCATCTAGGGAAAAAAACCCCCCACACACAGCTGTGTCGCGACTTCTGATTGGGAACAAAGCTTGGGTCTGACCAATGAGGCTGTGGTTTACATACCTATGTTGATAGGGCTCTTTGGCTCACACCTGCCTGCTCTACAGGTGTAGAAGCCGTTACAGATGCAATCGCTCTCTTCGTCACAAGGCTGATTCTTGATATTATCACAGTCACGCTGTGAAATGTTGGATACAAGATTTTTTTATAAGCTCAGAAAATGTTGGATTTTTTATAAGCTCAGAAAATGTTGGATTTTTTATTAGCTCAGAAAATGTTGGATTTTTTATAAGCTCAGAAAATGTTGGATTGTTTATAAGCTCAGAAAATGTTGGATTTTTTATAAGCTCAGAAAATGTTGGATACAAGATTTTTATAAGATCAGAAAATCTTGGATAAAAGATTCTTATAAGATCAGAAAATGTTGGATACAAGATTCTTATAAGATCAGAAAATGTTGGATACAAGATTTTTAAAAGCTCAGAAAACGTTGGATACAATTTTATAAGGTCGGAAAATGTTAGATACTAAATATGAAAGACCGGAGCTAATATTTGATAAACTATGAGACTGTTGAGCACATCGGTTGTTAAGTCGGGAAAATGTTGGATACAGGATTTCATAAGCTAAAAAAATGTTGGATACAGGATTTCATAAGCTAAAAAAATGTTGGATACGGGATTTCATAAGCTAAAAAAATGTTGGATACAGGATTTCATAAGCTAAAAAATGTTGGATACAGGATTTCATAAGCTAAAAAAATGTTGGATACAGGATTTCATAAGCTAAAAAAATGTTGGATACAGGATTTCATAAGCTAAAAAAATGTTGGATACGGGATTTCATAAGCTAAAAAAATGTTGGATACGGGATTTCATAAGCTAAAAAAATGTTGGATACAGGATTTCATAAGCTAAAAAATGTTGGATACAGGATTTCATAAGCTAAAAAAATGTTGGATACAGGATTTCATAAGCTAAAAAAATGTTGGATACAGGATTTCATAAGCTAAAAAAATGTTGGATACGGGATTTCATAAGCTAAAAAAATGTTGGATACAGGATTTCATAAGCTAAAAAAATGTTGGATACAGGATTTCATAAGCTAAAAAATGTTGGATACAGGATTTCATAAGCTAAAAAAATGTTGGATACAGGATTTCATAAGCTAAAAAAATGTTGGATACAGGATTTCATAAGCTAAAAAAATGTTGGATACAGGATTTCATATGCTAAAAAAATGTTGGATACAGGATTTCATAAGCTAAAAAAATGTTGGATACAGGATTTTATAAGCTAAAAAATGTTGGATACAGGATTTCATGAGCTAAAAAAATGTTGGATACAGGATTTCATAAGCTAAAAAAATGTTGGATACAGGATTTCATAAGCTAAAAAAATGTTGGATACAGGATTTCATAAGCTAAAAAAATGTTGGATACAGGATTTCATAAGCTAAAAAAATGTTGGATACAGGATTTTATAAGCTAAAAAATGTTGGATACAGGATTTCATGAGCTAAAAAAATGTTGGATACAGGATTTCATAAGCTAAAAAAATGTTGGATACAGGATTTCATAAGCTAAAAAAATGTTGGATACAGGATTTCATTAGCTAAAAAATGTTGGATACAGGATTTTATAAGCTAAAAAAATGTTGGATACAGGATTTCATTAGCTAAAAAAATGTTGGATACAGGATTTCATAAGCTAAAAAAATGTTGGATACAGGATTTCATAAGCTAAAAAAATGTTGGATACATGATTTCATAAGCTAAAAAAATGTTGGATACAGGATTTTATAAGCTAAAAAAATGTTGGATACAGGATTTTATAAGCTAAAAAAATGTTGGATACAGGATTTCATTAGCTAAAAAAATGTTGGATACAGGATTTTATAAGCTAAAAAAATGTTGGATACAGGATTTTATAAGCTAAAAAAATGTTGGATACAGGATTTTATAAGCTAAAAAAATGTTGGATACAGGATTTCATTAGCTAAAAAAATGTTGGATACATGATTTTATAAACTAAAAAAATGTTGTGTACGGGTTTTGCTAATCTATAAATTAATATAAATGATGTTTTATTTTTATATTTTAGTGCATTTAAAAGCTTGTTATTAACACATTTATGTAATTAATATTTTATTTTCTACTTTTTAGTATCTAACAATGGCAAAATATATTTAAGGAAAGTGAAATTGAAGATATAAAAACAATTATTTCACTGTTGGATTTTTTCCCCTCCGTTCATATTTTCCCCTCCGTGGATATTTTCACCATTTCTGTTCCTGCTGGCAATTGACTTGCCTGAAAGATCCCACGAATGCGCTGGCCTAAAACCATCAGAAATGAGGTACTACGGCAAAGGAAAAATCAACTGCCAGCTGTAGAAGAATGTTGGAAATGGAATGGCCACACACTTAGGAAGCCTGTATCCAACATAACGAGACAGGCCACTAGGCGAAAGGAAAAGAGACAGACCAAGATAGACCTGGAGACGTGACCTGGAAAAAGACACCAAGAAGATTGGATACACCTGGGGACAGTTGGAGAGACTAGCCCAGGACAGGATACACCTGAGGACAGTTGGAGAGACTAGCCCAGTATAGGATACACCTGGGACAGTTGGAGAGACTAGCCCAGTACATGATACACCTGGGACAGTTGGAGAGACTAGCCCAGTAAATGATACACCTGGGGACAGTGGGAGAGACTAGCCCAGTACATGATACACCTGGGGACAGTTGGAGAGACTAGCCCAGTACATAGATACCTGACACCAAGAAGATTGGATACACCTGGGGACAGTTGGAGAGACTAGCCCAGTACATGATACACCTGGGACAGTTGGAGAGACTAGCCCAGTACATAGATACCTGACACCAAGAAGATTGGATACACCTGGGGACAGTTGGAGAGACTAGCCCAGGACATGATACACATGGGGACAGTTGGAGAGAGTAGCCCAGTACATGATACACTTGGGGCAGTTGGAGAGACTAGCCCAGTACATAGATACCTGACACCAAGAAGATTGGATACACATGGGGACAGTTGGAGAGACTAGCCCAGGACATGATACACATGGGGACAGTTGGAGAGAGTAGCCCAGTACATGATACACTTGGGGCAGTTGGAGAGACTAGCCCAGTACATAGATACCTGACACCAAGAAGATTGGATACACATGGGGACAGTTGGAGAGACTAGCCCAGGACATGATACACATGGGGACAGTTGGAGAGACTAGCACTGTACATAGATACCTGACACCAAGAAGATTGGATACACATAGGGACAGTTGGAGAGACTAGCCCAGGACAGAGATGTTCGAAAAGCTCATGTCAGCGACCTATGTCCCAGTTGGGGCGACAGGCAAATCCTAACCTAACGTAACCATACACCACAGAAAGTTTTTCAATGGTATTTGAGTAATAAGAAGATAACCATGCCATTGTCTTGGTTGTAAAGATATAGCCTATCTGTGGGTTTGTGCTTAGTAGATGTATAATGAAACTCAATTGAGTACCGGCTTGATGACCATAGAATGACCATACTGTTACCATACAATGACCATATAATGACCCACAATATCGCGTGACAGCTTTGAAATTTTCTCCATCATCGCTTAATTTCTCAAGCAACCAACAATCATTGTTTAGTGTTTTCCCTAGCCCCTATAGATTTCTCTTCTAAACGCAAAAAAAAAAAAAAAAAATCCTTTAACATCTCGTACATGCAACGTTTTCATCTTTAGATTCTCCTTTAAATAATTCTAACCCTATCCTCCCTACTATGTGAAGTGCAATGTTTCTTTCAGGCATCTCTTCGGGGATTTGGAATTAAGAAATATAATTTATAAAGAAAATATATACTTTTACCGTGTCCACCTCCGGATAATTTAGTCCACCACCCCCCCTCCGAAAGTTTCAAATGTCCCCCCTTCCCTCCAACCCCCGGAGAAAAAAAAGTATGAAAGAAACACTGGTGAAGTACAACAGTAAAATGAGCTGGTGGATTGTTTAAGTTATTTAAGTCAATGTACTGAAGCAGACCTACTCTATCGTTGATGAAGTCCCCTAACGGGAAGCCCTCAAACGGATCTTCCACGGACGTGTCTTCAAAGGGGTTGAGTTGCTCCTCGTTGACTGGGATTTCGACTGGGAGTGCGTCCCAGGAACCGTGAGGTTTCCCATTCATAGACGGAATCTTAAAGCGGTCGAATGTCGGGAAACTCTCGAAGGTATCCGGAAATCGCTGGATCTTGACGATTTTCAGGGAGATTGGTTTGTGCGGCCCAAATTTGTCTCGGTCCTCGCTGAAAAAACTCTGGAGCTCGTTCTCTGATATAGAAACCTTCTTTTGTTTCGTAGCCAATTTCTTTTGGTATCTCTGTTGGGGAATTTCATTGGCGTTGTCCGTCCCTTTCGCATTTTTCCTCAACAATATGTACATCTTCGGTCTGATGAACGGACGGAGAATTTCAAGAACTTCCTTGAATGTTTGCTCGCCGTTCTCGGTAGGTATAAGGGACTGATACAGTTGCTCTATGATATTCTCCAGATACCTCTGTTGAGAGTCGTACTTCCAGATCTGATTTGAAGGGATATACAAGGCACATGTGAAAGACAGACCCAAGGTCACCACCAGCACGCGCAAGCTGCACAAATGTGTACTCATTCTACAGTTCCAGCTGCCCAAAAGGTATCGAAGACTAAAATTTGTGTATAAACTTTTTCTGTTTGTTTTTCTTCTGGATTTTCACAACCTGAGAAATGATGAAACAAATACGAGTTTAGTAGAGATTCGGATAAAAAAAAACAACAAAAATTAACTTACGGTTGTGTTTTTGTGTGGTTAACAGATACAAAAACTTTATACTGAATGAGGGAAGGTGCGTTGAAATGTGTGTTTTAATCTGTTGTTAACTAAAAAAATCCGGTGATTGAAATAAATTTCACCACGCGAAAAAATTATCCCATAGACAAAATATCGCTGTGTAAATTAATATCACAAGACTAAATATCTCATGCATAATATAGCACACTTACTATCAATAATTATGTCCATTGCAAAGAATGGAACCAACACAAATATGCCGTGTCATAAAATGCCCACCAAAATACATACAATTTCTTCTAGTCTGGTATTAAAAAAAAAGATTGTGGAATTGAAAACAATACCAGTAAATTTAGTTTTAATTACCACAAATAAAGCGGAAGTGATCTCCCCTAAACTCTCTCGAATATTCTTAGAAAACACTGATGGGGATGTGTTATTACCGGGATTAGCATAGGATAGGAGGATTGGGATAGAATATCGTTTAGTTCTTAATTGTATTGATGTCCATACTATTATATTGTTTAACTGTAGGTTAGATAGGTAATAATAGGTGAAATAGGAATATCTCTTTGTGTGTCTGACTGTACGTCCACTCACTAGATACAAGCCTTTAGATTGTGTTCACTGATGACAGCCGTGTTGACATGTGTAGACGTTACATCAGACATGGTGTACTTTATATCAGACATGGTGTACTTTATATCAGACACTTAGTACTTTATATCAGACATGGTGTACTTTATATCAGACATGGTGTACTTTATATCAGACATGGTGTACTTTATATCAGACACTTAGTACTTTATATCAGACATGGTGTACTTTATATCAGACATGGTGTACTTTATATCAGACATGGTGTACTTTATATCAGACATGGTGTACTTTATATCAGACATGGTGTACTTTATATCAGACATGGTGTACTTTATATTAGACATGGTGTACTTTATATCAGACATGGTGTACTTTATATTAGACCATGTACTTCATATCAGACACGTACTACTATATATCAGATGTATTGTACTTTATATCAGACACGTTGTACTTTATATCAGACATGTTGTACATTATAGTATGAAACGTGTTGTGCTTTATATATATATATATATATATATATATATATATATTATATATATATATATATATATATATATATATATATATATATATATATATATAAATAATATATATCAGACGTATTTTACTTTATATCAGATATGTTGTACTTTATATTCGACACGTTGTACTTTATATCAGACGTATTGTACTTTATATCATACACGTTGTACTTTATATCATACACGTTGTACTTTATATCAGACATGGTATACTTGATATCAGACAACATATACTACAAATCAGACAAAATATACTATAAATCAGACAACATGTACTGTATATTTGACAATGTTGTACTTCATATTAGACAGTATGCATAATGCTATTCAAAGTAAGAGACCTTACCTACTCCTACATATCAACTCTGACAACAAATACATTACTCTATTTCCAAATCTCACAAACATAGATTTCTTCAATACGAGACTTTTAAAAAAAGAACAGACATCACGTATATAGATATCCCGCAAAAAAAAACCCATTTGTCACGAATATATTTATCCCAAAGAAGAACATTCGTCACGAAGATAGTTATCCCCAAAAAACAATCTCACGAGCATGGATATCCTAAAAAAAAAACAACAAAAAAATAACAGAATTTACAAAGTGATTTACAAACTACTCATCTTACGAGCGTAGAAATTCCCCCACCGCACACAAAGAAAAAAAAAACAGCCTCACGAGCTAATCCCAAATAGCGCTGCTCACGAACAAAGATATCCCCAAAAACAAACCTCACAAGAATAGATATCAAAAAAAACAACTAACAAACAACAAACAAACAAACAAATAAACAAAAAAATAAATCATAAAGCACAGATACCGAATCCCACCTACTCACGAACAAAGATATCCAAAATACCACAATTCCAGTCTCTTAGAACTCAAAAACAAGACCCCCCCCCACCCTTAGCGTAATTGCCCACCCCAACTCCCCAATTTGACGACCTTTGCTGGGGACTAATTAAATTTGAAGCACCACAAGCCGTAAAAAGCTGGACCGGCTGCCCCTAGACTAAAGCGTGAGTACTGACAGTCGTCCTGCTCGTGTGAACAGGTCCCAGGACAAATCAGCCCCTCGTGCTCACCAGGTCACGCGCATCGTGTGACAGAGTTAACTCCTTGTTTCAGACCGTGCGCGCACTTAGGTACTCACTTAAGTGCTCATTAAACGCCCCGGCCTATCGTCAGCATGTCAACAATCCTGGGCTTAAAAAAAAAGTGTCTTATCGCTTTACTTGTAGGTGGGCGGTTTCAGTATGGTATTGTAGCTTCATTGGCGTCCGCAGGGGTTGGTCGGGGGGGGGGGGGGTGTCATTTTTTCATGTGTGGTAGACATTAAGCAACACGAGCGGACCGTAGTCAATAGATGTACAAACGAGCTGTCCCACACAAAGCTGTCCCACACAAAGCTGTCCCACACAAAGCTGTCCCACATAGAGCTGTCTCACATAGAGCTGTCCCACACAGAGCTGTCCCACACAAAGCTGTCCCACATAGAGCTGTCTCACATAGAGCTGTCTCACACGACGTTGTTCCACACAAAGCTGTCCCACACAGGGCTGTCCCACATAGAGCTGTCCCACACAAAGCTGTCCCACATAGAGCTGTCCCACACAGAGCTGTCCCACACAAAGCTGTCCCACACAAAGCTGTCCCACATAGAGCTGTCCCACACAGAGCTGTCCCACACAAAGCTGTCCCACACAAAGCTGTCCCACACAAAGCTGTCCCACATAGAGCTGTCCCACATAGAGCTGTCCCACACAGAGCTGTCCCACACAAAGCTGTCCCACACAAAGCTGTCTCACACGACGTTGTTCCACACAAAGCTGTCCCACACAGGGCTGTCCCACACAAAGCTGTCCCACACCGAGCTTGTAGCACATGCGTTCACTCACACACACACGTGCACAAACAAAAACACATACACCCACATCCATATCAAATGGCCAGTTAATAAAAAAAATACGTAACATGGCTACCATGATAACATGTCCCATTACCAAGTTTTATGTCTTCAGCACAAAAGAATAATAAAACACAGACGGCTTTATAGCCGGCACTCGAAGTCCAGCTTAGATTAGACGGCCTTTAAACTCAGTGGAAAAATGTTCGCATCGTTTCTGATATTCCGGTTACATTGATGCAAAAGGCACAAAAAGGAAATGTAAAATTCTAAATTGCGCAGATGTATTTAATTCTCAGAAAATTGTTATTTTCGACGGAAACCACGTGAATAAATGGAATAATCATTTTTTAATATACTTTAAGCCTTCTATAGAATATATAAATTACTGGCTTAGGTAAAATATGAAACTGGAGATTTATAAAAAAATAAATACATGAACGAAAACATGCAAAGTGAAGTACCCTACACCCACCCCCACCTAAGAAGATATAGACGCACACACACACGTATATATATATATATATATATATATATATATATATATATATATATATATATATATATATATATATATATATATATATATATATATATATATATATATATATTGGTAAAATGTGAAAAGGCAACATTGGCGAATTAAAACAAAATAAATACACATGAAGGAAGAAATGCAATGAACTACACACACTAACACAAACACACACACATTTCATTGAGTGTGTGTGGGTGTCTATATTCTTTGTGTGTGCTTCTGTGTGTGTGTGTTGCTATGTTTGTGTAAGCGAGTGGTCCTGTACAGCAAAACAAAACGTAAAGTGCTTAGGGCTACTTTACACCACAATAACGATCTAGTTGCTGGCTGTAAAAACAAAACACTCTTACCCCACTTCTGGTACTGCTGAAAACATGGGCCCTTAATAACGGGCATTGCCACGCGTGGGTAATGCCAGTTGTTTGTGACGTCTGCTAGGTACCGGGGGGGGGGGGGGATTTGAGTGGGAGGGAGGGTAGTGGTGGAGGAGAAATTGTACAGCCCATGTACACAGCGAGGTCTGGTCAGCTTTCATCGTGGGCCAGAGGAGATGGCCTTAAATTATACATGGCCGTGTGGCCATCCCACAACCCCCACAACGTCATCTAAAAGTGCCGTACCCAGTACATCATCGTAGAGTGGCGTAGCTCGGGGATTTGGGGCGAAGGGACTATCCTCTTGTTAGATTACTTGTTTGTATTAGCATATGCAAAAGGGCAGACACACCGTAAATCATATACTATATATATATATATATATATATATATATATATATATATATATATATATATATATATATATATATATATATATATGAAAGTGTATAGCAACTGCTCTAACTGCACTAATTAGAAGCTTATAAACTTGTCTCGATAGAAAATATTTATTATTCGATATCTATCATCAAAATCCAGTCACATGAACTTTGGGATTAAATATGGGATAAATACATTGTTAAGTGTGGCGTCAATTCGCCTCTAGCCGGTGTCACGTGATATGGTTGACATCTCAAAAGGTTTGAACCTCGTCATGATATCTCTTGATTTTTTTCTGATATTTGAAACTCACGTTTAACACAGCTCAGGTTTTTCTTACTGACGTCTTACGCCACTAAATTGTTTGTTACTGACGTCTTACACCATACATATATTTGTTACTGACGTCTTACACCATTCATATGTTTTTTACTGACGTCTTACACCATTCATATGTTTTTTACTGACGTCTTACACCATTCATATGTTTTTTACTGACGTCTTACACAATTCATATGTTTTTTACTGACGTCTTACACCATTCATATGTTTGTTACTGACGTCCCCTAAACTAGGCTTTTGTTTTGTCACTTTTAAAT